ACCTCTGGAAGTTCTCTATCAATATACTTCTGCAAACGTTTCTGAATTATCTTCAGTAAGATCTTACTTGTGTGCAATATTAATGATATTGTTCTATAATTTCCAGATTCTGTGGGATCACCTTTCTCTGGAATGGGTCCAAATATGGATCGCTTCCAGTCAGTTGCCAGGTAGCTGTCTTCCAAATCTCTGGCATAACCAAGTAAGTGCCTCCAATGGGGCATCTGTTTGTTGAAATATCTCAATCAGTATTCCTTAATTCCAGGAGCCTTGTTCTTCACCAATTCTTTCACTGCAGCTCCGACTTCCTCCTTCAGTACCATTGGTTCTAGATCATATGCCACTTCCTGAAACGGATGAAGATCGATCAGTTCTTTTTGGTACAGTGACTCTGTGTATTCCTGGCACCTTCTCTTGATGTTTCCTGCATCATTCAATATTTTGCCCATAGAGTCTCTCAAAAATGCAGCTCGAGGCTTAAATATTTTCTTCAATTCTTTAAGCTTGAGAAATGCTGAGCATGTTCTTCCCTTTTGGTTTTCCAACTCCAGGTCTTTGCACATTTCATTATACTAATTGGTTTTGTCTGCTCGAGCTGCTCTTTGAAATCTTTTGTTCAGCTCTTTTATCTTGTCATTTCTTCCTTTGGCTTTAGCTACTCTCCACTCAAGGGCAAGTTTCAGAGTCTCTTCTGTCATCTATTTTGCTCTTTTCTTCTTTCGTTGTCTTTTCAGTGACCTCTTGCTTTCTTCATGGATGATGCTCTTGATGTCATCTCACAATTCATCTGGTTTCCAGTCACTGGTGTTCAATGAATGAAATCTATTCCTTAGATGGTCTCTAAATTGAGGAGGGATATATTCTACATCATATTTTGGCTCTTGTGGCCTTTTTAAAATTGTTTTTAACTTCACATTGAACTTGCATATGAGCAGTTGATGGTCTGTTCCACAATCAGCTCCTGGCCTGGTTTTGGCTGAAGATATTGAGCTTTTCTACCACCTCTTGCCACAGCTGTAGTCAATTTGATTCCTGTGTATTCCATCTGGTGAAGTGCACGTGTAGAGCCACCATTTGTGTTGTTGTGTTTGCAGTGAACAAGTCGTTGGCCTTGCAAAATTCTACCATGCGAGTTCCAGCATTATTTCTGTCACCAAGGCCAAATTTTCCAACTACCCGTGATTCTTCCCTGCTTCCAACCTTTGCATTCCAGTCACCAGTGATAATTAACACATCCTGATTGCATGTTTGGTCAATTTCAGACTGCAGAAGTTGATAAAAATCTTCAATTTCCTCATCTTTGGCTTTAGTCATTGGGGCAATGTCTTAGAAATCACTACGATTCAAATTTCTAGTGCCTAAGGCACTTGAGTGCTAACCAGAAGGTTAGCAGTTCAAACCCACCAGCCACTCCTTGGAAGGAAGTTTGGGCAATCTACTTCGGTAGTGATACCACCTCAGAAACCCAAGAAGAACTCACTATGAGTTGGGTCCAACTCGACAGCACATAACAACAACAACAAAATCATGTAAAATTGTTCTTCCTGTAAAATTTCTCTTCCATGTAAAACTGAAAATTTCCTCCATGACTTGAAATTACCCTCTGACCACATTCATCTGTTCTTCTATTTCTATATTTATTCAATTTCACCAAATCTGTCCCTGCATGAGTCTTTCTGTGTCTTTTTCCAGTTCTTCCATCTTAGTTTTATATGCCACATGCCTAGCAGATATTTAACATGCCATTGAATATTTAATTATTTTTACATTCTTTTTTTTTTCCTTTCAAACACATTAGTGAAACCTGCTTATTTTGTTTTCATCTCCATATCCATCCTAATTTCATAGAATGCTGAAATCATAAATGTTTATCCTATACTATTTATTTTCCATTGGTTCTTTGTGCTTGCTTGGTTGTCTTATTTGCTTCATTCCTATTCAATTTAACAGCTCTCAACTGCACTCTGCTCACTTTTCCAGCCTACTTTGATCCCTATATTCTTGACTGTCATTTTCCTCTTCCATCTAATGTGATAGGCCTAGATTCTGCCAGAACTAAATTTTTCACACATAAACATGATCATCCTAAGTCTGTAGGATCTTGTACCTTTAATTACTGCTTGCCTTTTTTCCCAATTCTTCTCTTCTGTTACTCACAATCTTCATAGTCTAGAACATTCTCTGATGATTCAGCTACAATCTCACATGACCACTCAAATTCCCATAATCTTTTCAATGTCAAATATTCTAACTGTTGACATTCACTTCCTACACTTTCTGTTCATCTCTTGAAACTTTTGAAACTTCAAACTATTCTGTTGAATGTCATTCTATCATTTCACTCTTATTTTCATCATAGTTTAAACTACTATCTCAAATTTCAAATTAGCAAGTATAATACAATTATTTTTAAACATTTATTGAGTCCTTATTTTATATCAAAATGTACAAGGTATGTTACTGCTTTTAAAGAATCTCTAGTATGAAAGGGAAGACAAGATATTTAAGAAATAAAAGATAACACCAAACAAAAATAGCAGAACATAAATAAATATAGCACAGAACAAAAAATAAGCATCAAAGAGCTACAAAATAAAATCTTAGGAATCATTTCCTAATCATAATATGTAAATCATCTCATTGAAATTTCTTAATGCATACAAAACTACATCAAATGCATTAGAACTTTTAAATGATTTAACATGTAGAAAGAGAGGTGTTTTCTCCTCCTAAATAAACACTTGGATTTAAAACATCTTTTCAAAGAGAACCAAGTAATACTGTTTCTTGCACGAAGACATAGAAGGAAGTGATAAACTCTAATTTGAGTATCACATATCTCCTATAAGTTTTCCCTTTTATTTCATAACTAATGTTTTAAGATCTTTTGCATTGGGATTATTTTTAAGTAGAAGAAAATGAATAACTGGCACATTTTATTTCCATTAAAAAAATACTTGCCAACCTGTCTAGTATAACAGGTTTTTCTTTTCTTTTTCTAAAGTATTTTCTGTAAGCACATTTTATCAGCAGGTGGAAATGGTATAGGTATTTCAAGGCACAGGCATTAGAGTAAAAATGCCTGGGTGTGAGTCTGGCTTTAACACTTGTATGCATATTCTTGGTATACAAAATATATACAAAGGTCATAAAAAAAATCAAAATACTATAGCTATTATTATTATTACTAAAATTAACAGAATTCATTTATTAAATGAAATCATGATTGTAAACTAAACTCTATTTAATATAAAAGAACCCAAGACAACATATTCCACAGTAGGTTGCCCCTGAGATTTTATTGCCAAATATTTAAAACTAATCATTAGCATTTTAGTGACAGTCATGTAGGAAAATCATAACTTTTATAAAACTACACAAGTAAGTTTACCAAATGACTACATACAACCTGACATCACTAAAAAGTAGAAAAATGTTTGGAAAACAAAATCACTGTGTTTGAGGAAGATCATATGTGTCCAAAAGTCACAGAATGATGTTCTATTGACAATGATATTGTCACAATTTAAATATTCATTCATTCAACAAACACTATTAAGCACCTAGTAGGCACCAGATGGTACGCAAGGTGGAGAGAATACAATAATGAATGAAATAATGTCCTTTCCTTCTAGGAGCTCATTACTAAATTAGAAGACTGATAGAGAAAATAACGTAACACAAGAAGGCTTTAGTACTATAGACAAATAACAAAATGATGCAAAGAGATGGAAGAGCAGTAGGTGCAGTTTGAAGTGTCATTACACAGTCTACAGTGCTGGTGATTTCACGTAGGCATGGTGGTCACTTGTAAGCCTCCACAACCCTCAAATAAAGTGAATATATTTGTCAGAGATAAATGTATTAGGTTTATTTTCCAAACGGTTGCTATGAGTTGGAATTGACTTGATGGCAATGGGCATTCAGTTTATAACTATTACCACTATAAAGACTGTTTACTAGTATTACTAAATCCCTTTTAAATGAAATAGTTTGTTATATGATTTGGAATTTTTTTTTCCAAATCTGTCCTTTTGTTTTTACAATGTATCAGGAATAACTGATTTGAAATAAACAAAAAAAAAAAAAAGAGAGAGAGAATTGTGACTCTGGCAGCTTTTAGGACTTCAATTAAATTTTCTTTTAAATGTAAATGGACAGGAGATTGCTAGATTGCTATTCAAAAATAACTAGTGGACCCACTAACAATTTTGCCAATAAATAAAATATTCAGCTTATTAACAAAAAGACATTCATATTGCAGTGAACCTCAGAGTTTGTTTTTAATATCTTAATGGACAAAAGAAAATATGAACAATATGTGATAAAAGGAGATAACTGGAAAACATACCAGAAGAAGCTTCCAGTCTTTCCAATCTGCTGATCAACCAGTCAAGGGAGCCAGAAAACTGAGCACAGTTTTTACGATTTCCTCTGATTAGAGCCGCTACAAAACAATAAAACAAAATAATAAACAGATTTCAGTTATGTGATTTTCCTTCCTTGTGTTAAAAATTAAGGCAAGCTAATAGAATCACTAACATGCTGGACCAAGGACAAAATACTTTACATCTAAAACATACATGAATACATACATATGCAAAACTGATATATTAAAATACAAATTGATATTTATTAACGGAAATGAAATACACTGCTCATTAGAAGGAATATAATTTCGGAAAGTAACACTTCACATAGGGAGGAAACAATAAAGGGTAATGGAAAAAAAAAACGCTGTCCTGGGAGTTTCCTCAGCTGGCTTCTAATACCTTATTTCCTTTAATTAGCCCTGAGACTTGATCATTTAATCTCAGGATGACACAGTTTTCTCACCCGTATAATGAAGAAGCTAAAAGCACCTCAGTTTTCCTGAAAATGTACTAAAAATACTAGTGTACTATAACTAAATGTTATATAAGTATATGTTATATAAGAAAAAAGGGTGGGAGAGTCAGACGATGGCCAATATATTTGAAAACCAGTTTCTTTTTTCCTCTACATCATCTCTTCTTCCCATTCACAATGCATATTAGACTCTGAGAAATCCTACCAAAAAAGAAAAACGAAAGAAATTACCTATGTTAACTTTACTTAACCTAGTGTTTTTTCCACTTTGACCAAGAAACCCATATGAGAAGGAATTCCTACATGACATATAAAATCATTTTCAATCCAGTTTATACTCTTAATTTTAAACTTCCAAATTTTAAAAATTATTTAATTTTTTAAAAAATTTTTATTATGATTTGGGTGAAAGTTTACAGAGCAAATTCATTTTCCATACAGCAGCTCACATACACTTTGTCTCATGACATCAACTGCAATTTCCCACAATGCAATAGCTTCCCTCCCACTTCCTCCCCAGTTACATCTTCCTTGTGTCTTTCACTCCCATGCACTCCTGCAAAATTATTTAATTTTTTGAAGTAAATCTGGTAAATGTATTTTTTTTTGTTTGTTTATAGATTCTATGCTTATACTATAAGATTGCACAAAACGATGTAATTATTTATAAAGGGTTGGTGATATTTTCAAGTAACATGACATTGAAAGATAAAAAGTTATCCACATAAGAAATACCACTTCTTAAAATCTAGTAGTGCTAGGAAGTAGTTTAAAAAAACAAAGTTTTAGGATATTGCTTTTTATTTCCTGTGAAGAGCAGAGGAAGAAGATCCCACAGTTACAGGGTACAATTAAACTCTTGTGAGATTAATTTTATGTGTCAGTTTGCCTAGAGTTTTGTTCCCTAGTATTTAGCCAAACAGTAGTCTAGTTGCTGTCATGGAGTACTTATTTATTGCCAGCATGTTCATTCTGACTCATAGTGACCCCTACTGGTTTTCTGAGGCTGTAAATGTTGACGGAAGTAGATCGCCTCATCTTCTTTCCCCAGAGTAGCTGATGGGTTTGAACTGCTGACCTTCTGGTTAGCAGCCAAATGCCTTATCCACTATGCAGAATAGTTATGTGTGATTAAATAAGTTGGCTTTAACAAGAGTTTAAGGGTGGCAATTCAAACCAACCAGCCACTCCTTGGAAGGAAGGTTGGGCAATCTACTTCCATAGTCATACCACCTGGGAAACCTGAGGAGGGGTTGATATGAGTCCAGTCCAACTCAATGGCACATAAAAACAACAACAGTGTCATAGAAACTTCTAAGAGAGCTGAAGGAGTTAATCCTGCCGTTGAGGGACCTAGTAACCTGGGAACTGATGACCCAAGTCCAGAAAATCAACAGAGTAAGAGGAGCTCTGACTAACTGCTTCAGTGGGTTGGCTTGCACCTTGGCTGTGTTGAGCCAAGAACACAGGAATATTCCCATGGATCGTGGGGTCACTTTAAGTCCATTCCACTGCACCATCTCCAGCTGCAGAAAATGAAGACTTCAGGGGAAAAACAAAAAAAAAAAGAAAAGAAAAGACACACTTGGGCTAAGGAAGGAGATGCAAACAAACCCAGAAGGGAGATGCAAGTGCCACATCACAGGAAGTGCAGGGCAGAGGGGTTCAGCTAGGAACCTCCAAAAGACCCACAACAGAAGAGATAGCTCTAAGTTACTGCAGGCCCCCTAAAGGTGTCAGCTTTATCTTCTAGTCAGAACTAGAGGGCATGAAGCCACATAACCAAGTAAGAACTGATTTATTTCCTAATATCTCCTCCCTCCCATACTGACTATGAGGCAAGCAGGTTTCCTGTGAAGAAGGTAAGTAGATAAAAAACTTGTTCAAGATCACAGAGACCACAAATATTGATAACAAGATTTGAATCCAGGTGGTTTGATTCCAGAGTCTGTTTATTTGGTACTACATAATAATGACTCACAATACAATTTCTTGCTGCCTGAATAACCAGCCTATCTAGAAATGATAAAAAGAGTGAATCTTGGGAGCATATGACTGCTATTGCTGTATCATATACCAAACCAAACTCACTACCATCAAGTTGATCCCGACTTACAGTGAGCCCTCCTTGGGTTTCCGAGGTGGTACCTCTATGGAAGTAGATTGCCCAATCTTCCTTCCAAGGAGTGGCTGGTGGGTTTGAATGGCCAGCCTTCTGGTTAGCAGTCAAAAGCCTTAGGCACTGTGCCACCAGATGAGATTATTACCAGTTAGAAAAATAATGGTTTTGTTTATAAAATGGCTTCCCAGATTTCCTAGAGAACAAGATAGGAAATATCCATATGAATGAACACTGTAGCAACATCTGATATCAAGTGTGTTTGAAGACCATGCCCTTCTATTCCATCTCTTTCCTGCTTTATTCCAGTGTTCTTTGGCATTCAGGAAGATTTGCCTCCCTAAATTATTTTGAAATTGGTCTGATGTGAAAAATCTCTAATTGCATGTCTTTAAGGATTCATAATGAGTAACTTATGCCATACAAAACAGAGAAGCAATCTATCCTCGTTTCATACTTTGCATCATCATAAAATGAGTATTCATAGAGAGAGTTTGACAAAGAGCCATTTCTCAGATGGCTTTAGAAAATGACAGTGGCTTACAAGCCTCCTACAGATTAATTGTGTGGATGTCAGAAAAGATGAATGAAAGCATGCCACAGCAATACTTCTCCAGCATGAAAACTGGTGTTCATAAGATCCTATGGTCTTGCAAATTGCAGACTCATATATCTACTTTTGTCATTCTCCACCTAAAACACATATTACATATACTCATGTCAAATTCCATAATGGTTATATATTACTATTCCTACCCTTCCCCTTTCTAATCATGCTAAATAGACATGCCAAGAAAAAAAAAAAAAAAAAAAGGCTTATTTCACAAAAATTTCAATTTCATTGAAATGCTTATTTCACAATGCCTACTTATTTACCAAAATGGGAATGGCTCTTAAGAAATTTGGAATTAATGATTTTGAAACAAAATTTTAATAGCTGACTAAAGAAGGACAAGTAAGATGTAAATATCTTAGTGAACCCTAATAACTGCTGCAGATCTGAGACTTCTTCAGCCAAACTAAAGTTGTACAGTACCACTTGTCTCTCAATAAAAACTACTAGCAGCAGATGATTCCTAATTCTTTTGGATGGCAATATTCAGCATAAGTTTACATCTGTTTTTTTCCTGAACACAAGATCAATAACTGTTGAATATAATGAACACAAAATCAAGGGAAGTCAAAGGAACACTTAACAAAATCTCCTCATTCTACCTGCCTAATACATTGATATTAAAATTACCACATACATACTTGAAAAGCATTCTTTTTATTTGCACTGATATATAAATATTCTCTTTCTCATTAAATAGGGATTAATATATTAGCTCTTTTTCTTTGAGCATCAATTGTCTAGCATTAGATATGTTTTAAGTACTTTTTTTTCAATTATAATATATATCAATAACAATAAATACATAATAGGGAATACAGAAAATGAAAAGTGTATGAACCCTCTCATAAAAAGTAGACACCGGAATTTCTGGAAGATGGTGGAACAGGCAGAAAGACTGCACAGACCCTCTTCAACAAAGAAAAGGGGAACCAATTAACACAGATAGAGAAGATAATCCTGGAGACCTGAGCTTTGAAGGGAAGGATATAAAAGTGGGTTAAACTCCAACTAGTAGAAGAATTTGCATGAAAACACCAGAAAAAGTAGACAAATGGGGCTGCAGTCTGACAGCGATCCTGACAGCACAGACAGCTTGGGTATTGCTGAGTGATGGTAGGACTGCTCTGGTGGCTGGGGAATAAAAAGGGAAGCAGCAAAGAGGAACGTGGGCTGAGATGTGGACTTTTCTCAGTCCGGAGGGCACAGCCATTTTGAATGTTTACAACCAGCTTGATCATTTTGGATATTTAAAGAGACAGCATTCTCCCAGATTCCAAGGACTTAAAAACAAGCTCCACTTGCTAGGAAACCCAAGGACATTCTGGACCCGGACGACTGGAAAGGTGCGACATTTGCCTTGTTATTCTTATACCCCACACCCTCTTGGTGAATGGAGGTGCAGCCAACCTCTACCCACTTTCTGAGCTGGCAGGAACTCCATCTCAATCTGTGCTTGGAAGGAGACTGGGTGCCCTGTCTTGTCCTGCCCCCATTTTCTTTCTGTTTTCTAGTTTGTTTGATTTTGTCTGTTTTAAAACTATTATTATTATTACTTTTGTCCTTTTTACTATTATTCTTTATTGTTTCCCTCCCAGGTTCTAGTTTTCAGCTTTTTATCTTTTCTCTGTTCCTGGTTGCAATTTTTTTTTTATTCTTTCTCATGGATAAACCCATTTCTTATTCTTCTTTTTGTGTTTTTCCCATTTATTCTTCATCATTCTCTTTCTATACCTTTTTTCTCTTATTGCCCTCTCCCCAGATGTTGCAGGTTTTTTGTTTCCCCACAGTTTTTTCTTTCTTTGGTTACCATCCCTGTGTGACTACGCGGTGTATATTTTGTCCAGTTGCTTTTACTTTTTTGGTG